ACTTTCTCAACCAATTCCCAAAAGCTTGTCAACAATTGGAAACCCATCCAAGGCGACGTAAATGGGTTGGGAAGTCAAGGCCCGCAACATGTGCTGCAGAACAGCCGGCCGGCCTGTCCTTCCTCCCTTCAGGCACTCCTCGACTTACAACACTTCACTGACAAAACCTTTGCAGGAAGCAAAGTAATCAATAGATTTTGAGTCCTTCTTGAAGCTCTGTGAACTCTGGTTGTTGTCGTTTTTTGGTACTTCGGTTGGTTTCTGTTATAATTATTTGGATGCTTCTGTTTTTGGCAACATTCCATAGCACTGAAAGGTGGGTGCTTATCTTGGGGAACTATTTATAATTACTTCTGGCTGGGAATGAAAGTAATTCCCGGCGTTGCAATAAAATAGGTTTTGCTTTTAAAACAAGTTTTGTGTTTAATTCCGTTTGACGAAGCCTGGGTCAGAACAGTAACCCCCGGGGACAAAAGCTAATCAGACAAGCCCCTTGATGTCTAAGGAGATCCTCAGCCCACCAGATCATGGTTGTCCCAAAGGTAACTAAGACTTTTCTTTGATTCTTTTCCCCTTGAAAATAATGTTAGTTTAAATCGTTTTATTAAATATCTGGATTTCTTTTTCCTTTTTGTGGTCCCCATTTATTTGGATTATTCAGTGTCTTAAAACTGATGTTTGCTTCTGAATTTATTTCAGACACCAGGCTTTGCATTTTCTAAATCCAGATATAACCAAAGTCAATCAAAATATAAGCCCACCCCAAAAAACCTTACAACTGGGACCAATAATGAAACCATCCCCGTCCTCTAAATTAATTAGGGAAAAAAAATGTAATTTTCAGTTACAATTTACACCTATTCTTTGTATATATACACACCAGCAAGAAAAGGAAACGCTGCTGAGTAGTTATCGTTACTACGAATCAAAACCCTGAGCTTTCCTCGGATCAAAAATCCAATTTTATAGCGCGAGGAATTTAAAAACAACAACACAGCAGACGTATTTTTGATGGACAGGCTCATCGTCTTAGCCGCCGAGCCACCGACTTTACCTGAATTTTAAATAAAAAGTCGATGGTTGGAGGTCAAGAAAGTGGCAACTCCTTTTTCTGAGAAGGTTCTTTAGCCCTGATTTTTTTCCCCCCAAAAAATCAGGAAAAGAACCCCGCCAACTATTCCTGCTTTAATTCTCTCGCTCGAGAGACGCCTCTTTGTCATGCAAAAGACATCTTGCTTCGAGAAAGGCCTGGCTGGGAGCCCAGGGAAGGCTGGATGAGCCCTCACGGCCTGCTTTGGCAAGCGGGGAGACCAAATAAATTATCCACTCTCTGAAATCCTTGCGTTGTAAAAGAGACCCTTGGATTCGCAGGTATTGAGACGTGGACGTTAAAATGCCTGCTAGTCGTTTGAATGCGATAGTTCCAACGGAGGAGGAGGAGGAGGGGAAAGCGAAGGGAGGGCTTTGTAATGTGGAGAGAAGAGAAGATTTGCTGCTTGGGGTTGAACTGTGGGCTCCTCGGTCCCTTGCGCGCGTTTCATGACTCAACTAGGAAACTACTGACTCTTTTTATTTTTCTTATAGGTATCCATTTCATGTATTCATAAATATGTTTATACTTATACCTCGTATCTTGTAAGCGATTGACAAATCGAATCAAATCAAATAAATAAACATCGTCAGCGCTAGAAGGGAGTGGGGTTTGTGGAGGAGGAGGAGGAGGAAGAGGAAGAAGAAGGAGAGGAGGAGGAGAAGAAGAAAAAGGAGGAGGAAGAAGAGGAAGAAGGAGAGGAGGAGGAGGAGGAGAAGTGGAGGAGGAGGAAGAGAAGGAGGAAGAGGAAGAAAAAGAATAGAAGAAGGAAAAGAGGAGGGGGAGAAAGAAGAAGAGGAGGAGGAAGAAGAAGAAAAAGGAGGAGGAAGAGGAGGAGGAAGAAGAGGAAGGAGGAAGAAGGAGAGGAGGAGAAGAAGAAGTGGAGGAGGAGGAAGAGAAGGAGAAGGAAGAAAAAGAAAAGAAGAAAAAGAGGAGAAGAAAAGAAGAGGAGGAGGAGGAGGAAGAAGGAGAGGAGGAGGAGAAGAAAAAGGAGGAAGAAGAGGAGGAGGAAGAAGGAGAGGAGGAGAAGAAGAAGTGGAGGAGGAGGAAGAGAAGGAGGAGGAGGAAGAAAAAGAATAGAAGAAGGAAAAGAGGAGGGGGAGAAAGAAGAAGAGGAGGAGGAAGAAGAAGAAAAAGGAGGAGGAGGAGGAGGAGGAAGAGGAAGGAGGAGAGGAGGAAAAGGAGAAGTGGAGGAGGAGGAAGAGAAGGAGAAGGAAGAAAAAGAAAGAAAAGAAAAAAAAGAGGAGGAGGAGAAAAGAAGAAGAGGAGGAAGAAAAGGAAGAAGGAGAGGAGGAGGAGGAGGAGAGAAGGAGGAAGAGGAGGAGGAGGAGGAAGAAAAAGAATAGAAGAAGGAAAAGAGGAGGAGGAAGAAGAAGAAAAAGGAGGAGGAAGAAGAGGAAGAAGGAGAGGAGGAGGAGGAGAAGTGGAGGAGGAGGAAGAGAAGGAGGAGGAAGAAAAAAAGAATAGAAGAAGAAAAAGTGGAGGAGAAAAGAAAAGGAGGAGGAGGAGGAAGAAGAAGAGGAAGGAGAGGAAGAGGAGGAGGAGAGGAAAGTGAGGTCCTCGGTGTTCTCTGAGCTTTTGGTTGTTTTCGTACAGACGTTTCATGACCCAACTAGGGAACATCATCAGTGCTAGAAGGGTGTGGGGTTTGTGGGGAGGAGGGGGGGAGGGAGAGAGGAAGGGAAGACGACGACGGGGGGGGAGGGGGGTCCTTTGGGACAATTGTGGATAATATGGACATCTCCAACCAAGAGGCCCAGGGCTCTGAATTCGAATTGGGAAGGAATCTCCGTGGTTGGAGACTGGAGAAGATAACAAGAACGATCCTGGGCCCACGAATTAAAATTCACCTCTGCCCTCCTGGCTGTCGCTCCAGGTGCTTTAATTGAATGGGATTTGAAGGGAAGCCAAAGATTTATTCCGCAGCATCTCTGCCGGTATTAAGTTCAAGTAGAGAAATTGTTCGAATGAGTCTCCTCCGTTTTTCTTTCTTTCTTTTTAAGGATTATTATTTTCTTTCATGCCCAGATGAAAAGGATATTTATCTCCAGAAGAACTTTGAAGCAAGCGGTTCCAGATAGAGGGCAGCTCAGAAAAGAAGACTAATGAATCCCAGCGTCTTTCGTGAAGCTCTCGCCATTCAACTACGCAGCTTGGCAAGACTTTCATTTTAGAGTCCTTTGTTCTTGAAAAATGTAACTTTTAAATGGAAATCTCTTTTTTTTATGTGTGTGTGTGTGTGTGTTTATAAAAGCATATATATATAAATTATATATATATATATATATATATAAATATGCATGCATGCATGCTTTTATAAACACACACACACACATAAAAAAAGAGATTTTCATATATATATTTCAAACTTGAAATTTGGCACCTCTGTTCCTCTTGGCTTCTAGGGGCTCACTAAGAAAGGATTTTTCCAAATAACCATCAGAGCATTTAGAATATTTCCTATATTATTTTTATTAACACGCTCTGATGCTAAGGAGTTCTATTCCCCCTCCTCATCTGAAAAGAAATCTCTTCCAAAGGCAAAACACCAGCAAGAGAAGAGTTTCAGTTTTAGTTTCAGAGCACCAAGCAGCTTTAGTACAGGACAGTTGAGCTAAGCCACGCCCAGGCTCCTTGCTGTCCTCCTTGCTCACACAGCAAATCCTGTTTCAGTTTCCAAACAGCCCTCCACTCTCTCATTTCAAAGGGAAAATAAAATTTGATCATCTTTTATTTATCTATATATTTATATATACTAAATGATTGCATTTTAATTCCAATTTCATTTTAAATCGTATTTTATTCCAATTCCATTTGAAATCATTTTTATCAGATTTTAGGAATAATTTGTGCCTGTCACTCTGACCTTTGATGTGACCAACTTGACAAGTGCAATGATGGGCGGCAAGGAAATTCATCAAATGGGGCTCAAAAAACCCACCAAACAATCGTTTTCATTGAGCCACAGAAGTAATTTCTGGGCTCAGTTGTGGTCGTAACTTGAGGATTCCCTGTATGCCATTGCAGGCTCCCCAAAAAGAAACCTCAGTAGTCGTTACCTTTTCAGTTTCATGTAACTTTCGTTGGCGGCTGGCCGACATTCTGCCCGTTGCACCACGATTCCTTCCAGGGACAATTTTTCTGGAATGGAAGGAGACCCAAATTAGCACCGAGACCCACCAAACCCTCTCTCCAAAACAAAAAAAAAGACACTTTCGGTTTTGGAAAATACAAGAAGTCCTCAACTTACAACAGCTCATTTAGTGACCATTCGAAGTTATGCCGTCACTGAAAAAAAATGACTTATGAACATTTTTCACACGTGTGTGTCAGCGTTCCAGAAAATGTCCACTCCCAACAAATAACTCTGAGAAGACATCCTCTCCGAAGTCTTTTTTATTAGAGTAGTAAACTGTCCTGCCCCTGTCAGGATCTGACTTGGAGGAGGAAGCTGACAGGGAGGGGGAGTGTGGCTCCGTTGGCTGTGGAGGAAACTGGGGAAGGGCAAAATCCAGCAGAGCAGGGGAGAGGTAGAGCAAGGGAGAGGGAATTCAGAGGAAGACCCAGGACCACCCCCTTTTCCTCCTAGGGCATGTAGGAAGGAATGGAGAAGGGAGCAACGTGACTTGCATGGCTTACGGGGGAAGAAAGGGCCCTGATTCCCTTCATTAGCTGCACTTGGGAACCCAGTGCATAAAAAGGTAAGCTGCATACAGCAACTTGTTGGAAGCAAATCATGAGTTATCTGGCATCGTTGAGGCTTATCTGTATTCCTAGCTTCTTCACAACTGTGTGAGTTTTGCTGTGCTTTCAAGTCTGCAATTCCTTCTCCTGCCCCGTCAAGCTAATGACTTCAGTCTGGTTTGTTTGGAGTTTAAGTTACAGTTTGTGTGCACCTTGTTTTGGACTGAATTTTCTACAGTTAAAGGTTGGTCCTGAGAGAGTTTTTCTCTAGCCGAAGGTAACCTGGGCACCGGGGGCAAAGTTGGAGATAATAAAGGGACTCCTGTTGATTATCTGACTAGGTTGCCTTTGTGCCAGGCCCCTTTGGGTCATCACATAAACTGGCACATCTGGGAAATCCCGAATCTGAAAGTTCCAGGTTTCCTTGCAATAAGTACAAAATTACAAATCCACCCCCGGAACCCATCATGGCATCACAGGCCCCAATCACCATCCGTCCCAACTTGAGAGATCCCCTCACTCAGGTGCAGAAACAACATGACCTTGACTTAGAAAAAGAATGCTATTGTGTCTAACCACATACGCTCCAAGAAATCCCCCCCCTCCCATTTTCCCAGGCTCGGGAATGTGGCAGCGTGGAACTGTCTGGTGCTAATATGGCCTCCAAAGCGGACAGAATGCTCGCTGCAGTATATTCTGAGATCGTGCGATTTACATTCAGATGCTCAGCAACTGATTCGTGTTTATGACGGCTGTAGCATTCCTGGGGTCACGTGATACACTTTTGTGACCTTCTGATGGGCAACGTTCAATTCTCAAATGCAGCTCATCTGTTTGGACTCCGCACTGCATAATGGACATTAAGAGATATTTCACGAGAAGAGTCCTCCAGTCTTCTGCTCGTAACAGAATACCTTATACCAGTGGTTGCCAACCAGGGGGCCAGGGACCACTGGTGGTCCGTGAGAAAATTTTGGTAGCCCACAGAGAAATGTCCCGCCAAAGCAATTAATCCAGGCTGCGCGGGAACACAAGGCTGCGCCACCCACATGGCCCATGGGAACACAAAGCCTGCGTCGCTTGCACTGCGAACAACATGAGATAGCAAGGGGATGGGCGAAAGGGGGGAGGAACTTGCCCCACGCACCTGGCCGGGCTGCTTCTTTCCACTTCTTTCTTCTTCTGCTTTTGGCTGCACGCAAGGAAAGCAGCCAAAGTCTTTCTTTCTCTCCCCTAAATTCCGCCAGAAATGAGTCTTGGGGACCCTACAAGGCCTCCTGTTCCAAGAGGTTGTGCTGGCAAAGACTCATTTCTGGGGGAATTTGGGGGGAGAGAAAGAAAGACTTCGGCTGCTTCTGCTGCTTTCCTTGCATGGAGCCAAAAGTCTCTCCTCTCTCTCTCTCTCTCTCTCTCTACCCCTGAGAACAGAGCTGGAGACGGTATCCTGCGATCCCAAATAAAGAATGATCGATTGGTAGGAAAACAGGGTGGGGAATTTTCCTGCAGGCTTTTTTGGGGGGATTTTCCCAGGGGGTCTCTGGTCCGCAGGATTTAAAATTATGAGTTTGGTGGTCCCTGAGGTCCAAAAGGTTGGCAACCCCTGCCTTATACCACCAGACTTGAAATTTTAGGCTTAGACAAACTAGAACTATGCCGCCTTTGGTCCAACCTAAGCGTAGTACATACAATTATCCACTGCAATGTCCTACCTGTCAATGACTACTTCAGCTTCAACCATAACAACACAAGAGCACACAATAGATACAAACTCAATGTAAACTGCTCCAAACTTGATTGCAGAAAATACAACTTCAGCAACAGAGTGGTCAATGCCTGGAGTGCACTGCCTGACTCTGTGGTTACATCCTTAAACCTCTCAACTCCTTTAACCTCAAACTATCCACTAGTGACCTCACCCCGTTCCTAAGAGGTCTGTAAGGGGCGTGCATAAGTGCCCCATTGTGCCTACCATCCTTGTCCTATTATCCCCATTTACTTGCACCTATTTCCTGTATTGTTACTCATGTTTATACTTATACCTATTATCTTGTAAGCGGTTGACAAATCAAACAAATAAAAGAAGGAAAGAAGGAAGGAAGGAAGGAAGGAAGGAAGGAAGGAAGGAAGGAAGGAAGGAAGGAAGGAAGGAGGAAAGAGAACACGGAAGGGGAAGGAATGAAGGAGAGAAAAGAATGGAGGGAGGAGAGAAAAAAGGGAGGGAGTGAGAGGAAGGAAGGAAGGAAAGAAGGGGGAAGGAAGGAGAACAGGGAAGGGGAAGGAAGGAAGGAGAGAAAAGAAGGGAGGGAATAGAGAAAAGAATGGAGGGAGGAGAGAAAAGGGAGTGAATGGGAGGAAGGAAAGAAGGAAGGAGGAAGGAAGGAGAACAGGGAAGGGGAAGAAAGGAAAGAGAGAAAATAATGGAGGGAGGAGAGAAAAGGGAGGGAAAGGAAGGAAGGAAGGAAGGAAAGAAGGAAGGAAGGAAGGAAGGAAGGAAGGAAGGAAGGAAGGAAAGAAGGAAGGAAGGAAAGAAGGAAGGAAAGAAGGAAGGAAGGGAATACCCATTCCTAAGAGGTCTGTAAGGGGTGTGCATAAGTGCACAATCGTGCCTACCGTCCCTGTCCTAATGTCCCCTTTTATCCATACCCATTTCATGTACTCTTAATCTTGTTCCCAATTATATCTGTCATCTAATACATGCTTGAGAAATAAATAAAAGAAATAAATAAAATAAAACCTCAACGGGAAAGCCGAATTCACTTAAGGACTGTGTGACTAACCAAACGATAGCTGTTATTTAGTTAACAATTGTGGCAAGGAAGGTCCGGGAAACGGGCAAAATTTCACTTCGCAAATGTCTCGCTTAACATCAGAAATTTTGGGCACAGTTGTGGCCGACAGTCAAGGAGTAGCTATATGTCTCCCGAATATTCTACTCAAATTTTTGCAGAATTTTTCTTTCGGTTGATACAGAACTGGTTTATTCCGCAATTCTAATAAAATAAACCCCATGAAAAATAGAGAAGACGTTCCCTGACGTTATGAAAAGAATCAATCTGCTTCCTCATGCTCAGGTGTGCCAGCTGCCCAGAACCAGAAATTCGGTGTTTTCATGAAGGTGATGCCAGCACATGGCTTCGTTCCATCAGGAAAACAGGACTAAGCAGCACAGTTGACAGAAAGGATTTGACTGTTAGTACAGTAGAGCAGCTATTTATAAAGGATCTGGATAATATCTGCAAGGGAACGGAATCTCCATTTTTAAACCTGCGAATTCAATGGGCTAATCTGCACGTTCCCTTCCTTATAGCAGGCTAATGAATGAGACCCGTGGAATCAATTCCCACGACTGAAGGCGAACCTTTGGCAACCAGAAATGTTGTGTGCGTATATTATTTTAGCCGATTGCATTCGGTCACGTGCATTTAGTTTTGCGCAGTTTACAGGCCAAAGGAATTGAAAACAGACTCGGAGAAAACCGAGAGGGAACGCAACCAACGATGGGAAAACGACGCAAATAAGTGCATTCATTCATATATACTTAAAACGGAGACGCAAAGCCCGTTTTGTGTGGTGGGCTCTCAGCGGGGAGACCAAGAAGGTATTTCTCTCTCAGGCATGGAACTGGCTCGGTGAATATGGGGTCAGCCACTCTTGGCCCTAGACTGGAAAGTCAAAAAAACCCCACCCATCCATCTACCAATCTGCACGCACGCGCACACGCGCACACACACACACTAGCAGGGTACCCATGCTTCGCTACAAAACTATGTGATCAGGCAAGTTTGGGGGGAAGGAAATAAGGGGGGGGGAAATTCTGCCTCTGCCTCCCAACATCCATTGGTATTCACCTGGCTAGCGTCCTGTCAGTGTGTGAGAGAGTTGAGGGCTGTTTGGAAACTGAAAGAGTATTTGTTGTGTGAGCAAGGGGACAGCAAGGAGCCTGCGCGTGGCTTAGCTCAATTGTTCTGTACTAAAGCTTCTTGGTGCTGTGAAACTAAAAATGAAACTCCTCTCCTCTGCTCATGTTTTGCCTTTGGAAGAGATTTCTTTTCAGGTAGGGAGGGGGAGTAGAACTCCTTAGCATCAGAGCGTGTTAATAATAATAATAATATAGGAAATACTCTAAATGCTCCGATGGTCATTTGGAAAAATCCTTTCTTAGTGAGTCCCTAGAAGCCATATATGCCAAATGTCAAGTTTGTAGGCTTTACCGTTGTGGAGATTTTGTGATGATGCATGAGTGGCATTTTGCTTTTTTATATATCAATATAAAATAAATAAATAAATAAATATATATATGGAAATATATATATATATATAAAAAATCTATATCCTTATAATCCTGAATCCTTCCCTTCCTCTCAAGAGACCTCAGCCATCTATTTTCCTTCTGTCTTGCACCTTGACGCCAAAGGTTTGCATTTTTGAAAACTCAGCTGTTAAAGCAGCTAACAAAC